TTCTTGTAATAGTAATATCTACTTGTTAGTATTTATATACATTGAATTAATGTTATTGGACGGCTAGTTATGTATATGTTTTTGAATTGGGTTACGTTAATTTGTAAAAGTTACGAATGAAATGTCATTAATTGTATTTATGTAGTCTTGCTGTAAATATTAAAAAATTTAATTATGGTACGGAATCGAACGGAACCGAACCGATCCGAACCGAACCCGAACGGTTCCATAATTATATTTGGACCCGACGGGTCTATTTATTAAATACCCGAAAGTTTTGGGTCGTTTTGGGTCTCTTCAGAACCGAACCGAACCGACCCACGGACATCCCTATAAATTAGTACCTAAAAACAATACGTAATGCATCCTATTGCTTATTATATTATCGCACTTGACATCTAAAAAGATAACTTAGTTATAAGATGCATTTACCGACCTATAAGAGATAAATAAAATCTCATATATTTGCTATAGATGCTCCATCTTGTATTAATGTCTTAGATGATACATAATTACATTACATAAATACAACGTTTGAAGCATTGTGACATTCGATTCTAAAGATAAAAAATTCTTAAAAAAGGACCAAATAAGAAACATGGTCCCATTTAGAAGGTAAAATATATATACATAACTAATTATAAAATCGTGAAAGGGGTACAAGTACTCGTTAAAAGTGGAGATATCTAAATAAGTTATGTTATTATGAGAAAGAAATAGAATCGAAAAGAAAAATTTATCGACAATACTTTTGTACATAATATACCACTTCATATTATAAATAACGGGGATATCAAAATAAGTTCATCTAAACATATCAATTGATAAATGATAGATCAAATAAAATGACACAATCTTAACAAAACTAAACTCACAGGAAAACCTAAGGTTTTTGGACTCATAGTCCGAACACTAAATGTGTATACGTATGCTAAACGCAAATAAGAAAAATAAAACCATAATATGTAATGCATTACTCTTAACATAATGAATTTCGTAAAAACTTGTATAAATAGATAAATTATCCGGTAATAGATACAATCACAAGTTTATATCTTGTTATCCGACAAAACTTGAAATTTGATATGCATATAATAAATGTGATTATAATCAACACATCTAGCAAGGTTCATTGTCTGAATCATCACTGAACTTTGCGTAAAGTTTCCACCGAATCATTAAACTTAAAAAATTATACCGTTAATCACTAAACTTTGTAATTCGTTATTCCATCCATGACTTACTCAAAGAACAGTTAAAAAATTAATGAATTTGCTAACGTGGTTGACAAAATTGTATACATGGCAATCTATTTCTCACTTAACGTCCACATTAGTGACAATTTAAAAATTGAATAAGGGATATTATAATGAATTACAAAGTTAAATGATTAATTCGGTAATTTTTAAAGTTCAGTGATCCAGTGAAAACTTTATGCAAAGTTTAGCAATGATCCGGGTAATTCATTTAGCAAGAAAGTTTTTTTCTGAGCTCATCTGCCACATTATCAATGAACTCTTCAGTGCTCAGATACTTGTAAAGGTTAAGTTTGTAAAATTGTAAAAGAGCGCATAATGATGATTGATGAACATAACAAGATACTTTCTTCCACTTATTCAGGAAAAAAGTAAGACAACTTTAGGACTATAGACTGAGAAAACGATGCAATGGTCACTCACTTGGATCCATGGATGATAAGGGCAAGATCTTTGGTCATCTTTTTAGACTCCACTGCACCAATACAAGATGTTTCTATTTTCTCGGTAAAATCCAATAGCTTCGCATCTTCGTCCAATTTTGTACTAAATATTTTGCTTAGGGGTGTCAAATGAGCCGAGCGACTCGTCGGCTTGGCCGCTCGACTCTTGAAAATACGGCTTGTGGTCATCTTTTGCTTAGGGGTGTCAAACAAACCTGAGGATGAGTCAAGTGGAACGGCTCGCCTCACAAGCCTCGCCCACGAGCCCAGGCTCATGGCTCGCTAAAAACAGGACCAAAACTGTTACTTTTGAAGTTCATTGACCATTTGCTATGGCCACTTTAATTTTTTTCCTTCTTTTTTTAACTATATAACCCCATCTCATTTCTAAATTTTTTCGCACAACAGCCTAACAACAATTCTCACTCGCTTTCACATTCTACAATTTACTACATTAATTTATACCTTCAATATCAGTTATTTAATATTAATTATCACACTATAAATTTACAAATACAATCTTATACACAAACTTTCTTTAAATTTTTTATTTCTTTCCGTACTCTTTATTTAATTACTTAGTTATTTACTATATAGTCTATACTATTATTATGAGGGGAGTAAATATGCATTGTACT